TCATCCAGATAAAACATAGTTCTGATGGGGATGGAGCTAATGTGAGCAACCAAGGATGCCATTATCTTAGTGAAGACCCTGGGGGCCAATGAAAGACCAAATAGGAGAGCGGTATACTGAAAATGACACCCTTCGTGGCAAAAACGCAGAAATTTGCGGTGGCTAGGCCGAATTGGAATATGAAGGTAGGCCTCTGTTAGGTCAATTGAAGCCATGAAATCCCCTTGTCGTATACCTAGAAGGATGGTCTGGAGGGACTGCATCTTAAACCGGCGATATACAATGTGCCGGTTTAGAGATTTAAGATCAAGGATCGCCCTCCAGCCTCCTGAAGATTTGGGAACCAGGAAGAGACAGGAATAAAAGCCTTCCCCCACTGGGGAGGAGGGACGGGTTGGATAGCGTTGATATCCAGGAGATGTTGGATGGCCGAATTAACCCTGGCAGTTTTGACGGGGTCCCTAGATGTAGGGCATTGTAGGAAAAATTTGGGGGAGTGGAACGAAACTCTAGAAAAAGGCCAAAACGAATGGTAGACCCAGGCGTCTGAAACAGTAACATCCCATGTGTCAGCAAACTGGGATAAGCGGCCCCCCAAAGATAGGTTGGAAGGGGACTCAGCGGGACCGACGGAAGGGTCGGCCCCTGCTCCCTCGAAAAGGCCGTTTGAAGCCAAAACGAGAGCCTTGTCTAACCTGGGATTCCTGGGTAGTCGAGGACCTAGGCGAGAAGGTTCGTGGAGATCGCTGATTGGAGAAGGACACGTCTGACCCACGAAAGGAAGAGGAAGGATGAAAGAAGTGTTGAGGTCGCGTATCCTGGCGACGATGTAGAGGAGGCAATATTTTGCGATGATCCTTTGTTTCAATTAAGAGAGGATTCAGCTGGGAACCAAAGAGTTTGTCCCCGGAAAAAGGGGAGGAGGCCAGACGCCACTTGTTTCTGATGTCGGCTTGCCAATTACGAAGCCATAGCAGCCTGCGGGAGGTGATGGAGGTTCCTATGGCTTTGGCCGAAAAATGGGCTGCGTTGAGGGTAGTGTCAGCGGAGAACTCCACCGCCGCCAAGATCTTATTCAGGTCCTGGTGAGTGCGCTGATCGGACGCAGGTAAACGGGCTTGAAGTTGTCATAGCCAAAGGATCGTGGCCCTGTTGAAAAATGATGCTGCTGAAGAAGCTTGCACTGACCAGGCCGACGCTTGATGGCCCTTCACCAAGGTCCTTTCTGCTTTCTTTTCTTCAGGATGCAAGCACTCTTCAGGGGGGCCTGTGAGTGGAGAAGAAGAGGATAGAGCCAATACAGGTGAGTCTACAGAAGGCACTTGGAGAAGAGAGGAGAAATCAGGGCCATATTGTAGAATCTTTTGTCCAAATTGTTAGGTACTGTCGGAGGACCACATCCGAAAATAATTTGGGGGCCGGGACCACCTCTTTTTGAACAGCAGGTTCCTGAAATAAGGACGTGGCAGGATCTGAGGCCGCAGATGAGGTTGGAACCACAGAAGAAGGGCCACCCAGGTGGGTGACAAGTTGAGCCTTATGGAGCAAGGAACGAAACATATGGGGACGAAAAAGGCCAATGAATGCCGGTTGATCAGGTTCCAGGCCCTCATCGTCTGAGAGATCCTGATCTGGAACAATCTCCCCATCTGAAAGGGAATCCTGACTAGCAGAGTCAGCAGCCTTACAGACCTCCCGGGATTCTTCCATTTCATCCTGGTAGGATGGCTCTCTGGATTGTTGCTGAGAGCAGGAATGAACAGCAGGCTCTAAATGAGGCCTTTGCTGTAGGCCCTGGGAAATGCCCTGGCATATAGCCTCAGATATGAGGGATGCTAAGGCTGGAGGAATGTCTTGGAAGGCCTGGTAACTCTGGTTGGGTGGTTGGGCCGCAGTGGCCTGCAATGAAGATTGAGCAGGAGCAGGAGCAAGTGGAGGGTCCTGAACAGCAGGGAAAACCGAAGCTGCCTCAGAATCAAAAACATTTTCCTCCACTACTGATCTGTCCGGAGATAAGGCTGGGGTAGGCCCTTGGGAATGCATAGTGGTGGGAGGGGCCCTAGATGAACCTGAGATCTCTGGAGGAGGTTCGGGGTGACCATCAGAGGGCACTAGGCCCGAAGCAGTTTGGGCTCTGGAAAAGGCCTTTTCCATGGCCTTGTGGCGCCCTTCTTCCTCCCTTGAGGGTTTAGAGCCTGAAGAGTGCGAAGGCACGGTGGAGCCAATGGCTCTGGATTTGGAAATCCAGCCAGAAGATGTCCCCTCCGCGGGATCCTCCTCCCTGGTTCGCTTCCCCTTAGAGTGGGCTTGGCGGGAAGAGCGCGATTTCGCTGCGTCCGCCATTTTGAAATCCCCCGGGAAGGCAATTAATGGTGGTCAGGGCAGTTTTTCGGGTCCCCAGATACTTGCGTTCGCCGTAATGCAGATCCTTGTCCTGGGAGGGCAGAGTGATGTCGCTAGCCTGTCAGCTTAAAGCGCGACAAAAAAAGCGCTGTTTGGCCTCGCGCTGAGGAAAAATGAGGCCGCTGCTGAGCTTGAGAGCTCTGAGGCGCAGCGTGGACCGCCGAATGCCAGGAGGCGGTTAGCCCGGTGACAGAACCCCAATTTGCTCAGATGGTACTGGGGTTCTGTGAAAGAGTACCTCCGCCAATGGATGAAAGGCAGGAAAGCCGGGAAGCGCGGCAGAGCGAACTCGTGCGCGCGCTTAAAAGCGCTGCCGTTCGGCAGCTAACGAGAGGAAATAAAGCCAATTAAAGGGAAAAAGCCGTAGAAGAGTCCAATCCGTTCCAAAATCCAAATACCAAGTAGAGACTATCAGATAGCAAGAACAAACTACAGACACAGCTGTCCTGGCAGACCGAGTCGAAAAACTGGAATCAAGCAGGAAAGGGCGGAGCTTAGACTTCCAGTTGACTCGGTCCTATAGGCCAGCTCCCTGTCTATCACCCACTACTGACTGCCGTGACAGCAAACAGGAGAAAGAGGCTTATGCAGTTCGTTGGGCATTGTTAACCTGGCGGCACTTCCTAGAAAGCAGTAAGACCCCTTTTGAAGTCTGGACTGATCATAAAAATCTAGAAGCCTTAAAGACCCCAAGGAAACTCTCCCCAAAACAAGTACGATGGGCTCAGTACTTTAAACGATTTGATTTTACTCTAAAATACCTCCCGGGGGGGGGGACTTTCTGGCGGATGCGCTATACAGAAAACCGTAATACAATAGTGCAAAGTCAGATGTAATCAAACCTATAGTACAAAACAATCAACTAGCCGCTAAAGTAGTCACCAGATCCCAGGCAAAACAAGAAACATTGACGGACAATGACACCATCCAAACTTTTAAACAAGCATTGGCCACTGATGAATGGTTTTTGAACAACAAATCCAGCTGTCTGATGAAAGAAGACTTGGCTTGGGTGGGTGGGGGGGAAGTTGTATGTCCCTGCAAGCCAAAGACTATGCTTAATGGTATGGTGCCATGACTCCAAATTAGCTGGACATTTTGGGTTTGTGAAAACTTTACACCTGATTAAAAGACAATTTTAAAATCACTAAAAAGGACATAGAAAGCTATGTAGCTAGCTGCCCCATTTGTGCAGCAGCAAAAAGACGCCAGGGAAAATCCCCAGGTCTATTGCAGAAGGTAGCTGAACCTTCAGCGCCTTGGAGAGAGATCGCTATGGATTTCATTGTGGAATTGCCAAACAGTGAGGGAAATACTGTTATTTGGGTTGTGACAGACCTATTTTCAAAACAGGCACATTTTATACCCTGCCAAAAGATCCCAACTGCTAAAAGTTTAGCCAAATTATTCCTAATACATGTTTATCGACTTCATGGTGTTCCACAAAGGATGACAGAGAGGCTGTCCACAAAGGATGACAGAGGGGCTCAATTCACCTCCAACTTTTGGAGGGCATTTTTGGGCTTACTTGGTACTGGCCAGGGGTTGAGCACATCCTTTCATCCTTGTACTAATGGTAATTCTGAAATTTTGAACTCGGTGCTAGAACAATATTTAAGATGTTTCATTAATTTTCAACAGGATAACTGGACCGAACTTTTGCCTTTTGCTGAAGTTGCGTTTAATAATGCTGTACATTCAATTCAATGGTGGGAATGCATGTTTGTTCGGGTTCTCAAAGGAAATAGTAAAGAAAACATCTTCACACGTGTATTGGCTAAAATCTGCATTGTGACTTAAAGGGAGGGGTTTCTACCACTTTAATCCTACTGCTTTGCCTAAGGGTATTCAGATTGTGCTTTAGCTGGATGGCTTTCACTTCTGCTTAATAAAAGAATCCTTTTGAACAACTACGTTTCAAGAGTTCATACTTTCTTAAGTTGGAAGGAGAGGCGATCCTTACAGACTGAATGATAATATACATTCTGGAAAAAAATACCAACTATGACAAATGTACTAAACTTCTGTATTCCTCAAAATCTTTTGTGTCATTATATCAGTGTTACTTTGAGATATTAAGCAGTTTATCTTGTGTTTGCCAGAAGAATATACAGAAATATCAACTCCTAATTAAAATTATAAAGCATGTGATTAAAAATAAATAAATATAAATAATATCAGGAAGATAACAAAACAGAATAAAATAATATTAGGAACATCAAAATAAATAGAATTATTTTTGGCAAGAGGTCTTAGGACAGCTATAGAGCTATAGAAATTATATTTTACCAGTGTATAGTTCAAGGCCAACCATCATTGAAGTGAATTGGAAGAGTTCTCAAAGAGATTATTCACAAAAAAAGAATTATGGGTGGGGAAAGAGCTCATCATCAATAATACTCACTTATCACATATTTTGTTTGTATTTTGCATATCAAAAAAGGGGCCAGTGTAGCTACACTGGTAGTACCACAATACTTATGAAGTGGAAGATGATCAGGACAGTAGTGATCAATGAAAACTATGAATTTAGCCCATGAATTTAGCCCATTCATTGAGTTTCATAATATGTAAGATGGATTTATTCATTCTTTCAGTCAAGAAGTATGTGATCCAAACATAGGAGGTAAAATTATTATGTGTCCACAATGTGATCAAGAATGCACATACTGGAATCTCAACATCACATGTGACTCTTCCAAGGTATTTTTCCTTCAGCATTAAAAAAATATTACTGTGACATAAAATGCTGTTTTGAAATAAACTGAAAATATGTGGAGAAGGAAGAATATAAGATCAGCAATAAACATAAGAAGTGTAACTGATTAGTACAACCCTTAGCACATAGTTTTTAAACAAAATTAATCCAAATAAAAACCATCTGAGAGATTCTGTAGGCCTGTAAACGTACAAGTGAAGTAAGCTACTATCCAGTACAGCTAAACAGATTGGGCTTCATGAAATCATCTTAATAAAGCAAACACTCCTCTTGTATATCCTTATTCTATATGCGAAGATCAAAAACAATACAATAGTATGGTGAACATGACTAGGGATTAAGGGAAATGTCAAGTTAATTTCATTCAATTTCCCATTTCCCAATCCTAAATTTGCTGTAGGCATTGAACATAAGTTTGCAATTTTAAAAAGTATAGGAAATAGTATAAGATCCTAATATTTAATATGTATTTTTCCTGACTAGATATATTTTAGTGCATCTTCATAACATATATGAGCTGTGGTGGTGCAGTGGTTAGAGTGCAATACTGCAGGCTACTTCTGCTGACTGCAATTTGGCAGTTCAAATCTCATCAGGCTCAAGGTTGACTCAGCCTTCCATCCTTCCCAGATGGGTAAAATGAGGACCCAAATTGTTAGGGGCAATAAACTGATTCTGCTTAGAGAGGGCTGTAAAGCACTGTAAAGCGGTATGTAAATCTAAGTGCTACTGCTATTGACATATATTTTTGCAAATCATTTTTCTTTAGCACATTTCATTTTTGTGCCAATTGCTCAAATATATAAATCTGATTGGAGTTATAAAAAGATTATTTGGGTTTCATTTTACCTCCAAGAAACTAAGCTGGGGATCTCCCCATTTTATCCTCACATCAATCCTGCAAAATTATTTGATGTGAGAGGGTGATTGGTGTTAATCAATTAAGGGTTGCAGGGTTGAGTGGATGCTGGTATCTAAGGAAAGTTGGGTTTTCCTATTTGGAAACTGTACATTCCTACTCACATTACGGTTGACCTATATTGTGGGTCTGTTCTCAAGGAACATATAATAACCCTTTTCTTCTTTTAAAGGGTCGTATTACAATATTATGATTTTATCATATGAAAAAATTACACCAGAAATTGGCATGATTAAAATAGTGAGATCCACAAAAACCATGTTTCCATATAATAAGCTTATTATATAATTGGTGTTCCACCAGAAGACCGTCTGTTTGCATGATAAGAATGCAACAGTTAGAAAAACTGATCTGTGGCATTATTTTTATGGATTCGTGTTATCTTTTAATAGAATTGTATATACAGCAACAAACAGCACACCTTTTAGGCTACCTGGCATATTTTTCTCAAGCAAGCAGATGGACAGGGCCATCAGCTGTCAGCTGGGGACCCAGGAGGAGATTCATCCATTTCTGTAATGAAGAAGGAATGTAGTCAGTCACTGTGTATATAGTGCAGTGAAGCAATGATTGAATGCAGATGCTTAGGTGCATAATATAATAAAATAATATATGCACATGACAACCAAATGATAAAATCTACAATGACAACAGAGAGTTAGAGTTAAAGAATACTGTATGTTAAGCCATTCTCTCTTCATGTTTTTCAGAAACTCTGTATATTTGACAGCTTTGGAACATTAGTGTTTGCAGTGTTTATGGGGATTTGGGGTAAGCTAACTTCTTTGTTTTGCATACTGAGTGATTAATTCAATAAAATGGGACAAAGTGTCATTTATGTTTATGAGACACCTCAATCTTTATTATAGAATTCGTATAATATTTGAATTTGTATAGACAATAGACAAATGTCAGCAAACAAGCTTAAGGACTTGGCATGCAAAAGGAAAACTGTGGGCATGTGCCATCAATTTCTCCTGCACAGCTGTGTACACAGAAATTAATCAGCCTAAAAGCTTCTCAATTTCCCGGGTTAGCTCTCCATGGCGCTCCTGAAAAGAGAGAGAAGATAACAGATCTGAATCCTGTAACAATCTTTCCCCTGTACTTGCAACTCTTCCTATGAAAAATGCCTAGAACAAGGCGTCCAACCTTGTTAAGATTTCACCTCCCAGAATTCCCCAGCTATTCCATTATGGAATTGCCTCAATCCAGATGCAATATATTCTTGATAGAAAAAGACTTGTTGCAATAAAATTGCTAGTTCATCTTTCTCTCTTCAAAAAATAAGCTACAGGAAATTGAGTTTATAAGCTAGGAAGATGTAACTGAACATGTTTTGAAAAATCTTCTTTAAAAAAAAGAGTGGGAAAAGTACCGTATTTTTCGAACTATAAAATGCACAGGAGTATAAGACAAATCTTTTGGGGGGAGGAAAACAAGAAAAAAATCTGCCTTTACCCATTTGCTGCCACCCATTGCCACGGCCCACTCGTCATGACCACCACCCATTCGGCGCAGCCCATTCACCGCCGCCGATCACTGCCACCACTGGCCGAAAATGCAACACATGGAGGCCAGAAATGCGACGCGCGGAGGCTGAAAACAGCCAAAGGGTGGGGGCCAGCGGGTGGGGCTTTGGCAACATTTAGTGTATAAGACGCACCGCAATTTTCACCCACTTTTAGGGGGAGAAAAAGTGCGTCTTATACTCCAAAAAGTATGGTACATAAAATGGCATGGAATTGTTGCAGGTGGCAACAATTTGACTTTCACTCATACAATATGTACTGATTGCTTTTCTTGACTTATTCTTTGATTAGTTAGCTTGTTTTTGGAGTTTTGGAAACGACGCCAGGCTGAATTAGAATACAAATGGGACACAGTGGAGTTTTTAGAGCAAGAGGAACAAATATGTCCAGAGTATGAGGCAAAATGCCACCATATAATAGTGAATGAAATTACACAGGTAATTGTATTTACAGTTTTAAGCGTTTTAATTAAAAATATAGTTTGAATGAATTCACTCAATTCTTCTTTTCTAATTACCAGAGCTGCATGTGTATAGTTATACAATATACAAACATGCTGCAAGAGGGATTATTAAATTTCAATAATGCTGAGCAAAAGGCAGCTTCTTAGAAAACCTCTTTTCTTGACTTCTTCTACCACAGTCTAGTTTAGTGCACTATGACATTTTTTCTCTTTTACCTATGTAAATAGGTAAATGGTGGTAATAGAAGCAACATCTTCTTGCCTTTGATCTGCATTGTAAAAGTGTCAGTTAAGGGGGCAGCAGGTAGATTGACTTGTCTAAAATGATCAGATCGTGCCTTTAAAATTACATGGGAAATAGGCAGTGGAACAGAAAGTGTAGATCACTTGCTTCTTGTATGAACTGTGTGCCATTTACATTTTTTAATTTATATGAGTTAAAGTGGCACATGGCTATGCAATGTTGCATAGCAATAAACTTCTTTCAGATGCCAAGTTTGGGGTTTTCCTGGATCATAGGCTCTGGTGGCAGAGTTCTCATGGTAACATTGCTACTATGGATATGGTATCCTACTTTGACCACAGAATACACAGTAGGGGTGATGATATTTGAAGTTAAAAATGGGCTCTTCTGACTTTTGCTAAGCAAATCACATATGAGGGAAAGAGACAGAGAGACCATGAAGATCTCTAATTGCTGCTATCTCATTTAGATTAATATCTCCCATGCAGCAATGCCAGCTTACTCTCATTTTGGTGTGGTTGTCAGGTGCAGAAATTTGGGCATAAGTGCATGTATTGGCCATAAAATGATACTTTTACTATAGTTGATGGTAATTGCAAATGGTTGCTCAATGTGTCAGTTGCTAAATAAGGACTACCTGTATTTCAATCTCCAGCTTTAAAAATTTAGGTAAAACTGCTGGGGGGGAAATGTATAAACCCAATTTCTCCTTTTTCTTCTCTTTCTTCTCTCTTTCTCTGTTAAAGCTATAAAAACCCTTTGTTTTTCTTAATTTCTTCATTATAGCAAGAATATACTGAACACAAAGATCATTTTGGGTATCTCTCATATGCAAATTATTACTGTATTCAATTTCATTTTGCTAATGATGGTCTATGCCAAAATAAAGTATATTAGCACGTTGCATTTTTCTTATTGTTTAATTGCTAGATTTGTATATGAGAAATAATTCTTCTAAAACATTATATTTTGTTATATTTTAATAAATAAAATTAATAAATTAATGTAGAAATGAAATAAGTTTTTGGAAATAAAAAACTTGCTGTTGAAAATGAAAAACTATTACCAAATTAATGAGATACAAAGAAGAAAAAACTAGACAGGTTTGAAGTTTCTAGTTTAGAAATTAATTAGAATGTAAGAAAAATTACATATTCTTATATACTTGTCCTAATAATCTTGTTTCAATTAACTTTGTTTATACAGCAAGAAGAGTATGTTCCTTATACAACCTGTGGAAAGTATGTACGGATCTTCTTCTGTACAAGTGCTGTCTTAATCTGGGTAAAATTAGTTGGTTCATACTATTTAGAAAGTGTTAATTTCTGCTATGATAGCTCCTTGAAAGAGCAAAATTATGTGATCACTATTAAAATGACAATTACTGCAATAGTATAATTGTTTCTTTTTACAGATGGAAATAGGAAGTTTGCTTTGGAATACATCACTCCATGCAGAAGGCCAACATATACAATCTAGTATGTGTGTATATGTATACCAGTATATGTATATGTATATATACATATGCCTGTGTGTGTGTGCGCGCGCACACATACACACACATGTATATATACACACCCACACACACATGGTCCTCAACTTATGACAATTAAGGCCAAAATTTATATTCTTAAATGAGAAATTTGTTAAGTGAGTTTTGCCCCATTTTACAACTTTCCTTGCCCCAGTTGTTAAATTAGTAACATGGTTGTTAAGTGAATCTGGTTTCCTAATTGACTTTGCTTGTCAGAAGTTCGCAAAAGGAGATCATATGACACTGGGACACTGCAATCGTCATGAATATGAGTCAGTTGCCAAGCATCCAAATTTTATTCACGTGACCGTGGGGATGCAGCAATAGTCATAAGTGGGTTTTTTTTTATTGAAAAGTTTTACAAAAAAAAGGTTTTTCCCCCAATATTCCCCCCACCCTTTTTCCCTCCCCCCACACCCCCACACCCCTTCCCCCCAGACTTCCCATAGCAAAATACAGGGTATTTCAGTTAACAATCATAAGCTAAATTAACCTATCTATCCTTAGACTACAAAATCCCCCCCTGAAACCTTAACTCCACTATAGATAACATAATACTTCTAAAACTTAACATTCATTCATAAGCTATTTGATATTTTCTTGTCTGACACTTATTTTGAATATAATCAATCCATCTTCTCCATTCTGATACGTATCTTTCTTGTGTATAGTCCTTCAAATACGCTGAAATTTTCGCCATTTCTGCTAAGTTCGTTACTTTCAGTGTCCACTCTTCAATAGTAGGCAGAGTCCTTCTTCCATTATTGCGCTACCAACAGCCTAGCTGCTGATATTAAGTTCAAAATCAGTTTAGTCTCTAATGCTGTACAATCCATCGTTATGCCCAATAAAAACAATTGAGTAAATTTCAACCTTTTCTTCAAAATGTTCTGCATCACCCACCAAATTTTTATCCAAAATGCCTTAATTTTCTTACAAGTCCACCATATATGATAATAAGTTGCATCGTCACATTCACATCTCCAACATTTAGCTTGCAAGTTTGGATACATACATGATAATTTTTTAGGATCTAAATGCCATCTATAAAACATTTTATAAAAATTTTCTCTTAAGTTTTGTGCTTGCGTAAATTTCTAACCCAAATCTTTCCCCATGTTTCTATCATCACTGGTTCCTGAAAGTTTTGTGCCCATTTTATCATACAATCCTTAATCAATTCCATTTCTGAATCTATTTCCAATAATGCATTATACAACCTTTTAATATGCATTTGACTTTGATCTCTAATCTGTTTTACCAAGTTTTCCTCATTTTGCATAACACCAATTTTTTGGTCTTCCCTCCATCTAGCTTGAAGCTGACCATACTGAAACCAGGTGTAAATTATCCCTTCTTCTTTTAATACATTTAAGGGTTTCAATTGCAGTTTACCCCTTTCCATAAAAAGAAGCTCTTTATAAGTAATCACCTCCTGTTTTTGTTCTATACTTACAGTATGTTTTCTATTGCATGTCTAGGATTTGCCCATATAGGTATCTTGTAGTTTAACTTATATTGATACTTTTTCCAAACCCTCAGCAAGGCATTTCTAAGTATGTGACCCTTAAACACCTTATCCACTTTTTTTTCGTATAACAAGTAAGCATGCCATCAATATAACAGATCATAACCTTCTATATTCAACATTCTCTCTTCAGTTAAATTAAACCAGTCACTAATTTGTGATAAAACAGCTGCTTCATAGTACAATCTTAAGTTAGGCATTTTAAGACGTCCTCTCTCACGTACATCCTGTATAATTTTCAGTTTTACTCTTGGTTTCTTCCCACCCCAAATAAAAGTATTAATCCCTTTCTGCCACTCCATCAGGTTTCCATCTTTCTTAAGCACTGATATAATTTGAAACAAAAATAGGAACCTAGGTAATACATTCATTTTTATTACTGCTATCCTTCCCAGTAGAGATAGTTGTAACTTTTTCCAATTTTCCATTTCTTTCTGCACTTTTTGCCAGAGAACTTCATAATTGTTTTTAAATAATTTCGTATTTGAGGCTGCAATATACACTCCTAGATATTTAACCTTTTTAACTATTTCAAACCCCGTTATCCTCCCTAAATCTTCTCTTTGAGATATGGACATATTTTTAGTTATCATCTTTGTCTTATGTTGATTTACTTTAAATCCAGATACCTTTCCATATTGACCTATTATGTCCAACATATGTGGTGCCGATTCTGTAGGTTGAGATAAAGTAACAACCAGGTCATCTGCAAACGCTCTTAATCTATAATCTTGCTGTCTAATTACAATTCCTTTTATTTTATCAGAGTTACGTATCTTCTTCAGCAAAACTTCTAAAGTTAAAATAAACAGCAATGGAGACAATGGACAACCCTGCCTTGTACCTTTCTCAATTTTAAAAGAATCTGTTAAACCTCCATTAACTATTATTTGTGCTGTTTGTTCCTGATATATTGCTCTAATTGATTGTATAAAATACTCCCCAAAATGCATTTTTTCTATTATCTTAAACAAAAATTGCCAATTCAATCGATCAAATGCCTTCTCTGCATCCAAAAATACGAGCGCTGCAGGGACCTGGTTATTTTTTTCCAAATATTCCATTAAATTTACAATTTGTCTAACATTATATTTCATTTGCCTCCCTTTCCCTGATTGGTCATTATGAATTGTTTGTTGCATAACTGGCATTAATCTATTCGCTAATATCTTGGCAAAGACTTTGTAATCAGTGTTCAAAAGTGATATTGGCCGAAAATTTTCAGGTTTGATACAATTTTGATCTTCCTTCAGGATCAGTGAAACAAAAGCCGTTCTCCAAGAGGGTGGAACTCCTCCCCCTAATTGAATTTTACAAAATAAAACAAGGGGTGGCGTGTTGGACTGCTAAGAATTTGTCTATTTGGGTTTGCCAGTCTCCTGCATCTAGCTGTGCCAGTGCCTCTTTGGCCGTTCTTACAAATCTCTCAGCCAATCCATTACTGGCTGGATGAAACGGGGCCGAGAGTGCGTGCCGGATGCCTAATTCTGCCAAGTATCCCTCAAACTGGGTGGTGGTGAATTGGGGCCCATTATCCGACACTAGGGTGTCAGGCGCCCGTGGGTGGCAAAGAGTTTGCGGAGTGCCTTTATGACTGCTTTGGAAGTCATGGATGGCATGAGAGTGATCTCGAGCCACTTTGAAAAGGCGTTGACGATCACCATAAAGGTCTGGCCATGGAAAGGCCCTGCAAAATCTATGTGAATCCTTGACCAGGGCCCCCGGGGATGCTCCCATTCCTTGACTGGTGCTGTGGGGGGATCTGGCCTGGACTCTTAACAGGGGTTACACTTCCCCACCCACTCAGTGATGTTGTTATCCATTTGGGGCCACCATACATAGCTCCTAGCTAGACCCTTCATTCTTATAATTCCCGGATGCCCTTCATGTAACATTTTTAAAACTTTTCCCCTTAAGCATAAGGGCACAATGACACGGTCACCCCAAACAACCCCCTTGCATAGACAGTTCATTTTTTTTAGTAAAGAATGCTTTGAATTCCCCGCCCTCAGTCTTTGCTGGCCAACCCCTTGTGGCCCAACTCATGACAGTTCTCAGCACAGGGTCTTTAGCTGAGGCTCTCGCTACTTCCATTGAAGTAAGAGGCCCCGAGTCCAAAACATCATTAAGGAGAACTGGTGCCTCCAGGGTTGGGTCCTCTAAGAGGTCCGGTAGCAGGCAGCGGCTGAGGGCATCAGCATGTCTCAAACTCAGTCCCGGTTGGTGGACAAGTTGGTAGGAGTAAGCTGCCAGGAATATGATCCACCGTGTCATACGTAAGGACAAGGCAGCGGGGGTGGGCCGTTCTCCAGCCAGGAGGCCCAAAAGTGGACGATGGTCTGTGACCAATTTGAAATGTCGGCTGAATAGATATTCGTGAAATTTCTTGACCCCCAACACTGCTGCAAGGGCTTCCCTGTCCAGCTGGCTGTAATTCCGTTCCGTGCTGGACAAGGTTCGAGAGTAGTAGGCGATGGGTGTCTCTAGCCCGTTCGGTAGTCTATGGCTCAAGACAGCTCCCACACCAAAAGGGGATGTGTCACAGACTAAGACAAGCGGTAGCGTCGCATTATACTGAATTAAGAAACTGTCCGCGGATATGAATTTTTTCACTGCATTGAATGCGGCAGCTTCAGCCTTCCCCCAGACCCAAGGTGCATTTTTGGCCAGTAACCGGTGTAGCAGTTTGGCGACCGTTGCCTTGTCTCTTAGGAATATGACGTAAAAGTTGAGGAGACCCAAGAAAGCCTGTGGCTCCAATTTGTTTTTTGGTGTGGGCATGTTCTGGATGGCCCTTATTTTGCTCTCGGTGGGGTGTATTCCTGATCCATCCACCTGGTACCCCAGGAATTCCACAGAGGGGACTGCAATCATGCACTTATTTCATTTTACGCGAAGTCCAGCCTTCCTGAATTTGGCCAAAACCCGACTGAGTCTGTCCCCTAGCTGTTTCTCGTCTGTTGCACTGAGTACATTGTCAAAGTAGGGCACAACCCCTGGCAGTCCCTGTAACAGACGCTCCATGGTACTTTGGAAAAATCCGGGGGCTATGCTGACTCCGAATTGAAGTCTGGTGCATTTGAATGCACCTCTATGGGTGACTATAATCTGTGCTTCCACGGTAGCGCCATCTACCGGTAGCTGCTGGTACGCCTCCGCCTACTCGTTCCCGGAGCTCGTAGTGCTGCACAAACTTCGATGGTACCAGGGCTTAGTGTGCCT